TTTTTTTATTTATTTGAGAGAGAGAGAGAGAGAGAGAGAGAGAGGTGTGTGGCCAGCTCAGCCCACCAGGGGGCGGGCTGGCTGGCATGTGGTGCTGGGGATTGAACCGCGGTCCCCAATGCTTTGCCAAGCTTGTTCTAAGTAGGTGCTTTAGACCACTGAGCCATCTCTCCAGCCCCCACACAGCTCTTTTTAATGCACACTTGAAGTTCTTTTTTTTTTTTGGTGGCACGGGGGATTGAACTCAGGCCCTTACACTTGCCAGGCAAGCGCTTACTCTACTGAGCTATCTCTCGGGCCCCTGTTTTTGTTTTTTGAGACAGGATCTCACTATGTAGCCCGGGCTGGGCCTCAAACTCCCCATGATTTTCCTGCCTGCCTCAGTCTCCTGCGTGCTGGGGCAATGTGCATACATCGGCATGGCCCGCTGCTTTTTTTCTTTTTTGAGGCAGGGTCTCACTGTGTAGTTCAGGCTGGGCTTTTAAACTTGCCATCCTGGGGCTGGCTAGATAGCTCAGTGGACTTTATAAAGGGCCTGCTTAGGCAGAGCACAGTGGCCAGGGTTCAATCCCTGGCGTGCTGTGCTGGCCCCACTCCAGGGCGCACTGAGATGGCTACTGAGACGGGGCGTGGTGGCGCGCATCAGTGATCCCAGCGCTTGGGAGGCTGAAAACAGGAGGATCACTATGAGTCCAATCTACGTAGTGAAACCCTGTAGACCCTGCACTAAATACATTAAAAAAAAAAAAAATTGCTGTCCTCCTGCCTCCACCTCCACAGTGCTGGGATAGCAGGCGTGCGCCACTAGGCCTGGTCTGACCCAGGTGTTCTGCGAGAGTGGGTTTTAGCTCTCACCTTCAGGACTTTGATCCACTCGGAGTTAATTCTGTGTACGAGATAAGGACACGGCCTGTCAGCGCTCCGCACGCGGCTGTCCAGTTGTCCTGGTTAGTGAAAAGATTGTTCTTTCCTATTGAATTGCCTTGGCAGCCTTGTCCAGAATCAATTGACCATAAATATGAGGGTTTATTTCTGGACTCGGTTCCATACTGCCGCTGAACGTGTCCTCGCGTGCCAGGACCGCGCTGTCCTGTACACACAGCTGCAGGGTGTGTTGGGAACTGGGAAAGTGTGAGTCCTGCAACTTTGTCTCACTTTTTTCAGCTTCTTTTTGGCTGTGCTAGTCCCAGCGTCTCCACGTGAACCCTGCTGGAGGGTTCTGCAGGAGGGGGATGCGGTGCAACTGTTGGGGGAGTATTCTCTTCTGTGAGCTTATTTATTGAGTTTTTTCCTTGTTGTTTTGCTTTTTGGTACTGGGATTTGAACCCAGGCCTTATAGTGAGCTACATTCCCAGCCCTTACTGTTTTATTTTGAGACAGGGTTTCACTAAGTTGCGGTCCTCCTGCCTCAGCCCCCCAACTGCTGGGATGAGAGATGCGCATTACCCTACCCTGTCCTGAGCGCAGGTTTCTAGAGGTTGAGCTGTACAGGAAAAAGCAGAATGCTCTTATTCACTTCCAGATCTAGCAGAGGTGCCAGCAAAGGGAAGAACAGGGACGTTGGCTGTCGTCTGCAGACCCTGAACAGGGCCTCCGTGCCACCCTCAGCCCTGGGTGGGCCTCACACAGCATTGCACTGCTGACGGTCACCTACCGGGTGTGAAGTGGAGCTGAGGGTCTGTCCTAGCTGTGGGATTAGGCAGTGGTGGGGAGCCCACCTAACACCTATCCTCAGGGAGTCGGCATTGGAGCTGGGCTCCTGCTGGCCCTCAGTAAATATTCATGGTTCCTCTGTCCCTCCTATGGAGCATGCAGGCCCAACCCCACAGGGCCAGGAAGTCACAGTGCCACCCCATAGGGCACTGTCTTCCTCTGGTGGCTGCATGGAGTCCTCTGTGTGCAGTATACCCATTGGTGGCCCTGGTGGTAGGAACCACTGCAGAGCTGGGGCCCAGCATGGACACTGTCAGTCCCTCCCAATGGGCCTGGTGACTTCTGGAAGATGGCAGAACCAGGGCCACCCAGCCACAGCTATCTCAACCTGGGCTGTCCCCAACCCTGCCTGGCTGTGAGAAAAGCCACGCGGTGTCCCCAAAGTGCAGAGCAGGTGGGAACAAATGAGGTCGCCACTGTGTCCTGGGGATCTGTCCCCCTTGAAGGCACTCTTTGGCCACACCATGCTGGAGTGGCCCAAGTGTGACCCTGCCTGTCTCCCTGCCCCCACAGGCTACAGCATGTTCGCCTTGGGCATCGGAACCTTGCTTTACGGGTACTGGAGCATGATGAAGTGGAATCGTGAGCGCAGGTAGCACCTGGCTGGTGGGCGTGTGGGTGGCATCGGCATGGTGCTGTCCTTTCTGGGAGAACACAGCCGCCAGGGCTGGCGGTGTTGGGCAGTCGGGCTTGGCCACAGCCACGAAGTCCAGGCCCACACTGCACATGTTCCAGGCCTGTGTGCATTTATTTTCCCCTCAGAAGAGCCCAGCAAGCAGAGAGCCAGTGGTCGGGTGTCCATATCCCCCTCCGGCTGCCGAGGCTGCCCCCGCCCCGTGGGCATAACACCAGCTGCGGGCAAGGCTGAGCATCAGGGCACGCCACATGGGCAGGGGCTGCGGGGCCCAGGGGCGAAGGCTGCTCTGCTCTGGGAGAGCATTCCAGCAGGCATCTTGGAAATCGCCGGGAGCAGAGAGAAGAGAGGACCGCCTTCTGGCTGGCCCATCGCACCCTGTGGTTATTTTGAGACAAGGGGCCATGGTTCTGTAAGGCCCAGAGTCCTGTGATCACTGTCCCTCCCCCGCACCGAGGTCATCAGGCAGAACTATTTTAAGAAGGAAAAAGTTTTTGTGAAGAAAGTGCGAAGCCAACCATCCTCTGTGCTCGCCTGTACTGGCGCTGGCCCCGCCCACATAGGCCTCCTGCCACCCCAGTCTCTCTTCTCCCTGTCGCACTCAGCAGCCTCCCATGACCCCCTTGTCACTTTGGGGTTTGCAGGCGCCTGCAGATAGAGGAAATGGAGGCCCGCATTGCGATGATGCCACTGTTCCAGGCTGAGCGGGACCGCAGGTAGGGCTGCCTGCCTGGTACAGGGGTACCCCATTAGTCTGTCAGCAGTGTCCCTTGGGAGTGGTCCAAAGACTTGACCTACTGGAAACCCCAGAGGGGAGAATAGGAAGGCTTCCTGGAGGAAGGGGCGGTGGGGCTGGGACAGGAGACAGGATAGGAGTTTGCCAGGGAGAAGGAGAGGGAGAGAGCCTGGCATGGTTGCCAACCTTTCTCCCCACTGCTCAGCAGGCTGAGGCAGGATGATTGCAAGTTCCAGGTCAGCCTAGCCAACTCAGACCATGTTACAGCAGAACTGGGGTTGTGGCACAGTGGTGAGTGCTTGCCTAGCACTGCCAAATGAACAGGAAGAGGAAAGAGAGGAGTGTGGGAGGGAGACTGGGGTTGGAGTGGGGCCCTGGGGTGCTCACCCCGCCCTCCCATGCTCCCCCCCACACACACACCCCAGGGTGCTGCAGATGATGCGTGAGAACCTGGAGGAGGAGGCCATCATCATGAAGGACGTGCCGGGCTGGAAGGTGTGCTGTCTCCCCAGCCAGGTCTAGGGGCCAGGTGGGCTGGGGCAGCCCTGCTGAAGGAGCCGCCCCTCACGTCCCTGTTCTGCCCTTGCCCGCAGGTGGGCGAGTCTACGTTCCACACCACGCGCTGGGTGCCCCCAGGCATCGGTGAGCTCTATGTGTTCCGCACACCGGAAGAGATCTTCAACGCCAGCTACGGCTTCATGTGGTTCTCGGCGTAGGGCGCCCGCACAGAGAATAAACACATATGCCCACCCAGACACTGTCTTGTCTGTCACCCACTTACACGGCCCCATGGACACCCAAGGTTCAGCAGCCCCTGATCCCTGGGGATTCTGGTCGTTGGGGCCCTCCTGCAGTCATCGGGCCCAGGGTGCTGGGAATGCGGCTCACCCCCAGCCAGGATCCCTCTGCAGTGGGTCTGTTGCACTTCCCTCCTCCCGCGGGCGGCTCTTTTTCCGGGACCGAAGGGTTAAGTCGGGCCTCTCACACTACCCAATGGGCACGCGCAGCGCCTCCGCGGCGCCTCCTGATTGGCGAGCACCCTGCATGAGCGGAGGAGTCGCCCCGCCTCCTCGGGTTGTGCTTAAAAGGCCTAGGTTGGCGAGGAGACCGCGCCCCCCTCACCTCAACCATGAGCAGCAAGGAGCTCACGGAGGCTCCTGAGGAGCGCAGTTTCCTCAGGTCAGCGGGCGAGGGGCGGGTCGGGGGGGCCCTGGTATCATGGCGGGAGGGCAGAGGGAGGCCTGGAGGGCTGGGCAGTGTGGGCCAGGGACTGCCCAGCCTCTCTTGGAAAAAGCCTGCAGCTGTGGATGCTACCAAATCCCTGTTACCTGGGCAACCACATCTGTGGGTAGCCCCTCATGAATATTCATGGACACCTCACTATTGCCACCCCCACCTCCGTGCAGGTTCGTGGTGGGGGGTCTACCCTGCTTGCTGCACCTGTCCCAAGGAGAAAAAAGGCCTGGGCAGGTTCTGCCCGAGCCACAACGAGGGCGAGTTTGGATAGCAGGGCTTCACGGGCCAGAGGACAAAGGGGCGGGCCCGCTAACAGGTCATGTTGCGGTCTCGAGCCCGCAGGAACCTAGGGGATCCGGCTGCGTCCATAGCCAGGTAGCAAAGCATGCTGTGGGCCAGGTCGTGAGGCCCCTGGGCAGCCCAGTTCCCTTGGACCCAGGTTGCCTTGGGCCTTCTGGTGGTTGAATTTGGGAGGAGTAAGAGGCACTCACGGAGCAGAGCTTCTAGCACCCCGCAGCCGGTCCTGTCCCCTACCGGCTCCGCCTCTTTGACCCGCCTAGAGCTGCTGCTATCGCCAGCATCCTCACGGACACCAAAATGACCAGTTTGAAGATTTAAAGTTCCAGGTGTCCACTAAAGGCAGCAGCCAGATTGTGTGATATACTCAGCTACTATATCCCTCTCCCTGAACCCGAATGTATCTCCTGCATGTGCTTTCCCAGATCAGCGCCAGCGGCAACCGAGACACCCCTCCTCCAACAGCCGCAGATCCAGGCTCTGTGCCCTGAACTCACCAGGCACTTGCTTGTCCTCACTCGGGGGCTCTCGAAGCATCTTCTAGTGGCATTTCTCCCAGGTCACCTCCCCCAGCAAGCCATTGATGGGCTGTTGGTCCCCCATGCGCCAGTGTGCTCTGCCCACCCGTGCCCATCAGGGCCACAAGTGTGACTGCTGCAAGGAGAAAAGGGCCCCTCCTGGGGCCACCACCAGCAGACCTTGCCCCTGCCTGATGGCCCCATCTCTGCCAGCTGCCCTTGCCAGCCACCAGCTAGGTGCTTCCCGGAAGACCCGAAGCCTGTGGGCCTGATCCTGACCCTTAACAGCCTACTGTGGTGTCCTGCCCTCTTACACTCCGTCATGGCTTCTGAGCAAGGGCCCTGTTTGCACTGCCCTGGGCCCTCCTTCCTAGAGAGGTGGATATGGACCACAGCAGTTGAACAGCAAGTGGTATGGCCACAAATGTTTTAACTTCCTCACTGCACCTGGAAGGGGGCCATAGGTTCCATATCCCCCCTCTCTGAGCCATTAAAACTGCAGCCAGGCGTAGTGGCACACACCTGTAACCCTAGTTCGGGAGGCTGAGGCAGGGGACTGCAAGTTCAGACCAGCCTGGACTCCATAGTGAGGCTCTTGTCTCAAAGAACTGAAAAGATGGGGCTGGGGAGATGGCTCAGTAGAATAAGCACTTGCCTGGCAAGTAAGTTCAACCCCCAGTTCCACAAAAAAAAAAAAAAAAAAAAAGGGACTGAAAAGACCTGCAGCCTCCAAAACCCGCCTTACCCAGATGCCCAGGGCCGCCAGCCCACCCGGTCGATCTCCACCTCCTGGCCTAGTTGCGTCGCTGCTGCACGCGCCTTTGGCCACCAGAGGGCGCGCGCGCCTCGGCCTTCGGCTCCAACTTCCCGCGAGCTGCCATTCAACCAGTTGCTGGTGGGATGGGGGTACTGAGAAAGAGGAAGAGTCCCCAGCGCAGGGCTCGTGGGAGATCCCCTGGGCTAGCTAGTGAGAGGGTATTTCCTGCTCCGGATGAGAGGCCGAGCGGGTCTCCGCGAATCCATACTCCCTCTGTCCCCAGCGCGGCAGAAGCAGCCGCCCTGGAGCGGGAGCTGCTGGAAGATTACCGCTTCGGGCGGCTGCAGCTGTTGGAGCTGTGCGGACACGCTAGTGCCGTGGCTGTGACTAAGGTACCTGAGCCCCGGGCCCGAGACGATGGCCTCTCCTGGGGGCCAGCTGGGGAAACTGAGGCTTGGGTGGGGGCCGCCCAAGGTCACACTGGAGGCGGAGCTGCAACCCGGGTTTGTCTGGGAGGAGGGAGACGATCGGCGGTGAGGTCGCACGCTCTCCCGGGCTGGCTGTGTGGTCACCTGCGGGCGATGGGACCCTAAATCCGCTCCCAACTACATGAGTCAGGCACCTTTCTCCCTCTTCCTCCTGCCCCTCCCTTTCTGCCTTCTCACTTCTCCCCCGTCATTGTTTTCTGACCACGGTGACCGTTTATTATTATTATTATTATTATTATTATTATTTTGGCGGAACCGGGGATTGAACTCAGGCCCTTGTACTTGCCAGGCAAGCGCTTATTCTACTGAGCCATCTCCCCGGCCCCACGGTGGCCGTTTAAAAGCAGCTCGTTCTTTACCTGGACTCATCTTTTCCATTTTCACAAGTGCATGCCCAGGCAGTGCATGTCCTGGTTAGAGTGGCTGATGGCTAAGAACAGCTGACACTCGGCCACCGACAGAGCCCAGTGCGTCAGTCCCAGCTCCCTTGCACCCGCCTAGTGGATGTCATTGTCTCCCTGACTCAGGCTGTGCCAGAGTGGCTGGGTCAGGCCTGTTCCCAGCTGGGCGGCCTGTTCCACATCACCTTGGAAAACGATTTGCTCCCTGGCACTTCGGCGCTCAGGTTTGCTAAAGGCAAAAGTGAAGCTGGAGGAGAGGGGCTGGGGCCCAGGAGGAGGTGAGGCCAGGCTCAGAAGCCTGCTGTCAGGGACAGTGGCTCACAATCACTCTGTACTTAGACCAAAGCTGGAGGTCACAAGTTCTAGGCCACTCTGGGCAACTTAGCAATACACTGTCTCAAAATCAAAAGGGCTGAGGATGTAGCCCCACACTCACCAAACAGTAGCACCAGAAAGAAAATGCGAGAGACACAGGCCAACAGAGACAAGGAGCAGTTGGGAGACAGAAGAGGAAAGGGGCCCAGGATGGGAGGGGGAGTGGCCTCCCTCCTCAAGCTCCACTCCACCCCCAACCCCAAGCCTGGAAACACAGGCTGGGAGGAGCAGCCACCCTGGAAAAGGGGCATGGAAGTCCTGTCTGCGGCTCTGGCAAGAATACCAAACCACACCTGCCTTTGCCAGGGGCTGGAGGCGCGCTTTCCACCGATGTCCCGCAGAGCCTGAAGCAAGGACTCTGCTGGCTCGGGAAATTGAGGTCCCAGCCCTTGGGCCAGAACACCCCTCTCCTGGCCTGAGCCCCACATATCCCCCATTCCAGGCCTGTTTCTCCAGGAGCCAGCCTGTGCCCTTGCTGTGCCCCCTCAGGTGTTCCCTTTGCCTGCCCTCTCGCGGAAGCAGAGGACCGTGCTGGTTGTGTGTGGCCCGGAGCACAACGGGGCTGTGGGGCTGGTCTGTGCTCGGCACCTGCGGGTGTTTGTGAGTAGTGGTGATACCCTGCCTCACCCTGACTTGGTCCCTTGTAGCAACCCTGTCCTCCCCTCGCCAGAGTCCCAGGTCACAGGGACGTGGCTTGCCGGTGGGTCCATTAACCGTTCCCTGGCTGGACCCCAACAGGCCTCTCCCCTTAGGAGTACGAGCCCACCATCTTCTACCCCATGCGCTCTCCGGATCTGCTGCACCGGGACCTGACCACGCAGTGTGAGAAGATGGACATCCCCTTCCTGTCCTACCTGCCCACCGAGGTCGGTGGTGCTGGGGCCAGGGCTGGGCCGGGTGGGCAGGTGGTCACTCCGAGGCCACCCTGACCCTCCCGCCCCTCAGGTTCAGCTCATCAACGACGCTTATGGGCTGGTGGTGGACGCTGTGCTCGGCCCTGGCGTGGAGCCCGCTGCGGTCGGGGGGCCCTGCACCCGCGCGTTGGCCATACTGAAGCTCCTGTCCATCCCCCTCGTGAGCCTGGACATCCCCTCAGGCACGCGGGCAGGGGCACGGGTGGGAGGTTGGGGAAGCTCCTGTCTGCCCCCTCTGAGCCTGTTTCCCCAGCGGGGATGGAGTGTACTCCCCGCTGAGCACCCACCTGGGAATGGGGGCGACCCAGGCTGCTGCCCGGGAGACTGGGTCCCGATTCCCGAGGCCCCGCCCCGCAGGCTGCTGCCTGCCGCCGCCTACCCCGGCCCCCTGGCCTGGGCAGACGTGAGCTCACTTGGCAGAGGCCGCACCGCCCTGGCCGCCGCCCCGTGCCTGCTGGAGCCATTAGGGACGACAGACGGGATAAACAGTGGCTGGCCCGGACCTTCTGCGGGGGCGCTGTCCTGCGGGGTTGTCCCCTGACTTAGGGATCCCAGCCGCCCCAGCCGGGTTCCGCAAGGGTGGGAGTTAGCAGAGGGCCCTGCGGGCAGAGGCGATTAGGAGCCTGCGCCCAGGGATGGGGGCTGGGCTGGGGAGGAGCCGGCGGCTTCCGGTGCGAGGCGCCAGCTTCAGGTGAGACTAATGGGGACAGTGGCTGCGACATGTTGTGGGGGATCTTGCTACGTCAAAAGGGGGACCCACGGGGCCGGGGAGATAGCTCAGTAGATTAAGCACTTGCCTGGCAAGCGCAAGGGCCTGAGTTCAATCCCCGGTTCTGGAAAAAAAAAAAAAGGGCGGGGGGGGACCCAGAGGCCAGACGGAGGAAGCTGGAGTCCAGAGCTGAAGTCTGGCCGCGAGGGAAGAGACTACCATCTAAGTGGGGGCTCGGGAGCCATCCAAGTGGGGCACAGGAGCGGGGGGAGGGAGACTCGAACCGACCCCGAGTCCGAAGGCGGAGGCTTTGCGCGAAGGTAGTCTGAGGGCAGAGACCGTATCCTAAGGAGAAGGGAGCCCGACGAGGTGCCCTGAGGGCGGAGGCTGTGTTCGGAGAGCGGGACGCTCCCCAGTAGGGGCGGTCCATTTCCCTAACAGGCACATCCAGCCAGGACCCCGTGACAAGGCAGAGGCTGGGTCTGGAGGGGGGTGGGATGAAGGGCCGAGCGCAACCCCCAGCTCCAATTCCTGGTCCCCAGGCTGGGACGCCGAGACCGGCGGCGGGGACGCCGAGGACGGGCTGCAGCCGGACGTGCTGGTTTCGCTGGCGGCCCCCAAGCGCTGCGCCGGCCGCTTCTCTGGGCGCCACCACTTCGTGGCGGGCAGGTTCGTGCCCGACGACGTGCGCCGCAAGTTTGCGCTGCGCCTGCCCGGCTATTCGGGCACCGATTGTGTCGCGGCGCTGTGACAGCCACCAATAAACAGATACCACCGCGCATTGCCTCATTCTTGCTTTGCGCTCTAGAGGGCTGGCTTCGGTCCGACGCCACGCGGGGCTGGTCAAGGCTTTAAGTCTCGCGGGGCGCTTCCCGCAAGCAGCAGGAGCAGATAAGGCGGGATGGGGGTAGTCTGCGCAGGTCACACAGGGGGCGTGGTCCCGAGCGGGCCAGTCTTGGGTGGGCGTGGTCACAATTCCGCCCCGCCCCCGTCCTCATCCCCCCGGGCCGCCAGACCCGCGAGTACGGAGTCGCATCCTAGCGCAGTGCAGCTCAGACTCCCTGGGCTGCTGGGACCGACCCGCGATGGCATCACGGCTGCTACTACTCTGTCTCTGTGTCGCCGCCGCTGTGCATCTGGCTGGGGCCCGAGGTGAGGCCCGAGGCGAGGTTGGCCTGGAACCCACATGCGCGGGGAAAGAGGACCGGACCGGAGGGTCACGCACCTCCTGGGGTCTGGGTTCCCTCCGACAGCCCAGGAGCTTGGGGACCTCTCAGAGCTGGACAGGGCGCTCGTCCATTCCTACGATCCAGGAAGATACTGCAGGGACCGGGGCGCACGGGAGGACGGGAACCTGAGGTTTCTCTGGGCTCCAGGGGCGTCTGACCCAGCCCATTTTGGAGCTCCTAAATCTCCAGATCTCCTGCCCAGCTCTCAGGGCCCTCTCCTCCCGCTACCTCCCACGCACCCGGGACACCCCGAGACGTAGTACAGCCCATGCCTCGGAGACGATCCGAGGAGGAGGGTGCTTTCCAAGGTTGTCACCCTGCCCAGGCTCTCGGGGACAATGAGGCTGGACTCCAGTACTTCTTGCGGGCAACCTGGGCAGAAGGGCTGTGTAGGATCAGGGGTGGGGAGCTGCAGTAGGACACTTCGGGCACCAGGTGGATGAACCAGATGCAGAGCCAATGAACTTGATCAGTCTGGGGCCGCTGGACGCCCCAAAAAGGAGACTCGAGCCTGGGGACCAAGGGGACATGGGCTCTCCCAAGCCGTGGTGGCACTGGGTCTGAGAGAGGGAAGAGGCTACAGAAGCCTGGGACTGGAAGCCTCTTAGACCCTCAGTTTCCTCCTGTGTAAAGTGGAGGTGACTTTGGCCTCCCTCTTGCACCGGAGGGGTTCACAGCGGCCCCGTCATCCTGCTTCCGTGCCCCCACTTCCCACTCCTCCTGCAGATGCTCAGGAACAACGCGCGCTGCACCCCAGCCAGCCCTCGCCGGCCCTGGAGGACTGGGAAGGTTGGTCAGCCAGGGAGGAGTCCCCTCTCTGCTGGGGGGAGACTCTCCACTGGACGGTCACGAGAGGAAGGCTGTGGCTGGGGGGCAGGGAGGGGCAGGGGTGGCAGGAGGAAAGCTGGGGCTCCACGGGCGAGGCCGGCTCCCCTCTTGGTTGTGGGACTGGATCGGGGCGACCCTTGGTCCTGGGGCCCCCAGGTCTCAGCGCATGGTACCCACAGAGCCCAGCGAGTGGACATCCTGGTTCAACGTGGATCACCCGGGCGGAGACGGCGACTTCGAGAGCCTGGCCGCCATCCGCTTCTACTACGGGCCTGCGCGCGTGTGCCCTCGGCCGCTGGCTCTGGAGGCGCGCACCACGGACTGGGCGCTGCCATCGGTGGTGGGCGAGCGCGTGCACCTGAACCCCACGCGCGGCTTCTGGTGCCTCAACCGCGAGCAGCCGCGCGGCCGCCGCTGTTCCAACTACCACGTGCGCTTCCGCTGCCCGCTCGGTGAGGGGGCTAGAGAGCGTGGTTAAGGGCGTGTCCCCACACGGGCCAATGGCTGGGCGTCGTCTCGGGGCGGGGCTTATTTGGTGAGTGGGGCTTCTGGCAGGCGGGCCTTTCAACGCCTAGGTTTACAGGCCTACACCCCACACTGTCACTGGGTTTTGAGCAGGCGCGGTGGCTGGGGGGGGGGCAGTAGCTTCTGTAGTCTCTCAGAGGTCGCGTGGACCGCGTGGGGGGAATAGGGGGTCCCTGCTCGGGAAGCTGCAGACCAGGCAGTAGCTTGCGTCCCGGCAGCCGCCCAGGTCCGGGTCAGGACTCATGTCCAGGGGGTCGAAAGGGCGGGGCCTGCGCAGAAGCCGGGAGTAGCGAGGGGTAAGTAGGTTGTGGGCCAGGCCTGTGCAGAGGGGCGTGGCCTCAGAGCGAATGGGACGCGGCCTTGAGGCAACCCAGGGTCGGAGGGGTGGGGCTGGTTGAGCTGGGGTCTCTGGAGGGAGGGCCTGGAGACTAAACTGGTTTGGAAGTGTGAAGTCTTGGAGCCACGACTCCTGACCAGGTAGCGCCTTCCTGTCCCTCCTGGGGCCCAAGCAGCGTTGCTGTGTGCGCATCTGGATGGCCAGGGTCTGGCACGAGGCCAGGGGCAGATTGTGGGGCCGCTTCCTAAGGGGGCACGGTGTGCAAGAACAGAAGTCAGCTCCACCCTCATGCACGCAGCCCTCCCGCCCACGCGGATGCTGTTTACACCCTGGCAGCCCAGATGCCCAGGCCTCCCCCACCAGCCAGCCAGGCTGCGACTGGAAACTCCGCCCCACCCAGGCTCCACAAACACAGCCTGCAGACCTTGCTGTGGGGAGGACAGGGGTGCGGGCGGGGGCACCCGGTGACCAGTGGAGGGACCCCACCCCCGGCTCTGCCCTTCCAGCACCTCTGCCCGCAAGTTTCCAGTGGAAGTTTCCATCTTCTGCAGAGCCCGCAGGATTGGGTGGGGAGTGTGCTCCAGTCCGCCCCAGGAGCTTCCCGCTAGACTCCCCACCACTCCCTGCTGACCTTGTCTCCATCCTTTGAGACACCTCTCTTGTCCTTTCCTTCAGGGTGCCTTCCTTCTCTTTCTGAACCCAAGTTCCCTCCTGCTGGCTCAACCCCACACACTCACCTCCATCCCCCCCCATCCCCCAGGCATTGCTGAAGCCTCAGAGGGGCACAACATGGGGCAGTGCTTCAGGTGTGTTTGTTGAGTGACTGAATGAAAGCTCTCTCTAGCAAAGAATATAGAGGCCTCTTTGTTCCTGTGTCCCTCTAGGATGCAGCCCTGACACCTGTGGATGTCCCAACCACATGCTGCTGGGGTCTGTGGTTACCTCATCTGGGAGACCATTGTCAGGAGCCAGGGTCTCCCTGCGGTCCCAGCCTGGCACTGTGGCCATCAGCGATGCCAATGGGGCCTTCCAGATGCCTGGGGTCTGCGCCAGTGGCCGAGCCAATGTGAGCGCCCAGGCAGGTGGCTTCTCTCTGGGTGTGGCCCAGGCTCAGGCCAGCAGCTCCACCTCCTCAGGGGTCACCATTGTCCTGGAGAAACTAAGTGAGTACCTGGGAGGCAGAGAGCAGGAGGGGGCTATGGTACTGGGGAAGGACTCCCAGGAGATGCAAGTGGGACCAGCCCTGACCTGTGTCACTTGCTGCCAGGGAAGCCCTATCTGGTGAAGCACCCAGAGTCCCGTGTGCGAGAGGCTGGCCACAATGTGACCTTCTGCTGTAAAGCTGCAGGGAACCCTGTGCCCAAGAAGTACTTGTGGTAAGCTTGGCCCTGTTCTAGATGGGCCTCCTTCCGGCTTTGTGTTGGATCAAGTTTCCTGTGGTTATTTGGTGCCTCAAAGACATAGCTAGAACCAGGGTGGTGGTGCACCCTTGTCATCCCAGCTACTTGGAGGCTGAGGCAGGACAGACTCAAATTTGAGGTCAGCCTAATCAACTTAGTGAGACCCTGTCTCAAAAGAATTTTAACAATAAAAGGCCTTCTAGAAGCACATGCTTGTCTTGGTTCCCCTCTGGCATGTGGGAGAGCTTCACCAAATGAACAGGTGGGCACCGAATGAACAGAGGGACCCACCTTCTCGGGAAGAAATCAGCACTGGCAAAACTGCTGCTCCAGGCCCATGCTGTGGTCCCCACATTGTCCCCCCTGCCCCAGGTTCCACAACGGGACGCTGCTGGACCAGCGGGAGCTTGGGTCTGGCGCCCACTTGGAGCTCCGTGAGCTGCGTGCCGAGCAGGCGGGGACCTACCACTGCAAAGCATGGAGCAAGGCGGGCACTGTGCGCTCAGGCTCTGCCCAGCTTACTGTGCTGGGTGAGCACCCAGCCCAGCCCTGAGCATCCCTAACCCTGAGCTGTGAGGGACTCAGCTCCACCCTGATCCCTGACTTCCCTGAGCCCCACATTCCAGTTCTAACCCCAGCCACCCCCCACCCCAATATTAACCCAGCCCACAGCTCCCTCATCCTGACCACTGTCTTCTGGCTCCTCAGCCCCAGGACAGCCAGCATGTGACCCCCGGCCCCGAGAGCACCTCATCAAACTCCCCGATGACTGTAGCAGGCCAGGTGACAGTGGGCCCACCTACCTGGATGTGGGCCTCTGCCCTGACACCCCCTGCCCAGGCCCTGTGGGCTCTGGTGCTCATTGCGGGGACCTGGGCTCACGCTGCTGTGCTGTACGTCGCCTGGAGAGCCGGGAGATCCGCTGCGCCGGCTATGTCCTGCCAGTGAAGGTGGTGGCGGAGTGTAGCTGCCAGAAGTGTCTGCCCCCTCGGGGGCTGGTCCGGGGCCGTGTGGTGGCTGTGGACTCCCGGGAGCCCTTGAGCTTTGCTAGGATCCTCCTGGGCCGGGAGCCCATCGGCTTCACCTCCTACCAGGGCGACTTCACCATCGAGGTGCCACCCTCCACGGAGAGGTTGGTGGTGACGTTTGTGGACCCCCGCGGTGAGTTCTTGGACACAGTCCGGGTGCTGCCTTTTGACCCCCGAGGAGCAGGTGTGTACCATGAGGTCAAGGCCATGCGGAAGAAGGCTGCTGTCCTGTTGGATGCCAGCCAGAGCAATACGATCCCCCTTGGGGAGCTGGAGCAAGAGGCGCCCTTTGCGGAGCTGGTGCTGCCCCCTGGGTCCATCCGGGCCACGGATGGCAGCCCCTACACGGGCACCGTGGAGGCCCGGGTGACCTCCGTGGACCCCAGAGACCTGACCTCCGCAGTGGCTGCCCCCAGTGACTTGCGCTTTGTGGACCGCAACGGGGAGCTGGCACCACTGCGCACCTACGGGATGTTTTCTGTGGACCTGCGTGTGCCGGGCTCCACAGAGCAGCTGCACGCAGGGCCTGTGGCTGTGCGCGTGGCTGCAGACCAGATCCGCATGGCCGGCCATGCCGAGGCCCTCCGCCTGTGGTCTCTGGAGCCAGAGACGGGCCTGTGGGAGGAGGAGAGCAGCTTCCGACGCCAGGGCTCCCCCAGCCCCCGTGTGCGCCGTGAGGAGCGAGTGTTCCTAGCTGGCAATGTGGAGATCCGTGAGCGGCGTCTGTTCAACCTGGACGTGCCCGAGCGCCGCCGCTGCTTCGTGAAGGTCCGTGCCTTTGCCAATGACAAGTTTGCGGCCAGCGAGCAGGTGGAGGGCGTGGTGGTGACCCTTGTGAACCTGGAGCCCGCACCTGGCTTCTCCGCCAACCCGCGCGCCTGGGGCCGCTTTGACAGTGCGGTCACGGGGCCCAATGGCGCCTGCCTCCCCGCCTTCTGTGATGAGGACCGGCCCGATGCCTACACGGCACTGGTCACTGCTACCCTGGGCGGTGAGGAGCTGGAGCCTGCGCCCTCGCAACCCCGGCTGCTCCCAACCACGGTGGGTGTCACACAGCCCTACCTGGATCGGCTGAGGTACCAGCGCACTGACCACGATGACCCGGCCTTCAAACGCACGGGCTTCCGCATCAACCTGGCCAAGCCTAGGTCCGGGGACCCTAGTGAGGCCCACGGGCCTGTGTACCCGTGGCGCAGCCTGCGCGAGTGTCAGGACGCACCGGTCACCGCCAGCCACTTCCGCTTCTCGCGTGTGGAGTCAGACAAATACGAGTATAACGTGGTTCCCTTCAGGGAGGGCGTGCCCTCCTCCTGGACGGGCGACCTCCTGTCCTGGTGGCCTAACCCTCAGGAGTTCCGCGCCTGCTATCTCAAGGTGAAGATCCAGGGTCCCCAGGAGGTGGTGGTGCGTTCGCACAATGCAGGGGGCAGCCACCCCCGCACCCGGGGACAGCTCTATGGCCTGCGGGACGCCCGTAGCGTGCGCGACCCCCAGCGCACCAACACCTCAGCAGCCTGTGTAGAGTTCAAGTGTGGCGGGATGCTGTTTGACCATCGGCAGGTGGACAGGACGCTGGTGACCATCACCCCCCAGGGCAGCTGCCGCCGTGTGGCAGTCAACAGGCTCCTACAGGATTACCTGGAGCGACACCCCCCACCCGCGCCCGCCGATGACCCAGCCACCTTTGCCATGCTAGCACCCCTGGATCCCCTGGGTCACAACTACGGTGTCTACACAGTCACAGACCAGAGCCCGAGGTTGGCCAAGGAGATTGCCATCGGCCGCTGCTTTGATGGCTCCTCTGACGGCTTTTCCAGGGAGATGAGATCCGAGGCTGGCACAGCTGTCACCTTTCAGTGCCGAGAGCCGCCTGCCAGGCCTAGCCTCTTCCAGAGGATGCTCGAGTCCCCTGCAACAGTGGTGTTGGATGACATCCGCAGGGAGATGGGTTGGGTGGGCCGAGGTTCCCCGAGGGTTCCCCGCACACGCCGGGGCCAATGACTTGGGCCGCGAGCTCCCTGCCCAGCTCTGCCCAGGAAGTCTCGCTCCCTTCTCTCCAGATGTCCCCTCCCCAAGTCTTTGGGAGCCCTGGCCCAGAACTGAAAGTCGAATGGCACACCTGGCAGGCAGGAGAGGCTGTCATGTGACCTGGAAGTGAAGTTTGCCTGGAGGGCACAGAGCCAGTGTGGGGCCGGCCAGTGTCCAGAGGCTGCAGCGACCTCTGTCTCCACCTGGATTCCAGGTCCTTGGCCCACACTTTGTTCTGGGATTATTTATTGAAATAAAGCTGGGGGCTGGTTGTGGGGTGTTTGGGGTTCAGGCCAGGCTGAGTGAGAGAGGAGAGGGTTCCTTGGGGTACCCATGCTAGGGCAGCTCTGGGGCTGGGAGTTCCTGTGTTTGGTGCTTGGAGACCCTGGGGTGTCAGGGCTGGGCTGGGGGCTCAATTAAAGATGCTTGTGTCTACCCCATGGTGTCCGCTTGAGGCTGAGGTATAGCGGCGGGGCTGCCCACTCCTTGGGCAGAAATACAGTTGTTTTTTTTTTTTTTTTTTTTTTGGCGGAACCGGGGATTGAACTCAGGCCCTTGTACTTGCCAGGGAAGTGCTTATTCCACTGAGCCATCTCCCTGGCCCCTGTTTTGTTTTTTGAGGGAGGGTCTCACTGTATAGCCCAGGCTGGCTTCAAACTCATGGCAATCCTCCTGCCTCAGCCTCCTGAGTGCTGAGATTATAGCTATACACCACTGTGTCTCCATGGACGGAAGCACATCTGAGCCCTGCAGAACACCATGTGCACATGGCATGAGGCCCTTGTGGCGGTTGTATCCTGGAGCTGGGCCTGGCCCAGGGCACTGAAGGGGACCTGTGTGTGAGGCAATGAGGGTGACCGTGGTGGCAGCTGGGGCCTGAGACACCGCCTTGCTGAGCCATGCGGGGGCCAAGCTGCCTGAGGCCAAGAGCCTGGGCTCTAGGACCTGGCTGGGCCTCAGGCTTGGAGGCCACAGTGTCTAACAGGCAACTCTTCCTGTCACCCTGTGGGGCAGGTATGGTTCTTTTTTTTTTTTTTTTTTTTTAAATTTATTTTTTTGTGTGTGTGTGTGTGTGTGTGTGTGTGTGTGTGTGTGTGTGTGTGTGTGGCCAGCTCAGCCCACCAGGGGGTGGGGCTGGCTGGCATGTGGTGCTGGGGGATTGAACTGCGGTCCCTCTGTGCTCTGCCAAGCTTGTTCTAAGTAGGTGCTTTAGACCACCGAACCATCTCATCAGCCCTGCAGGTATGGTTCTGAGAGTACCCCACTCTCCTATACCAGTCCCAGCAGGAGGGGGGCTCCCTGGGTGACCCTAGAATCTCAATCCAGCAGCACATGTGGGGCCCGAAATATCAGTGTGGTGTAACTGGAGACCTGTGCCAGGCCGGCACCCCAGCAAAGGGGGCATGGAGCAGGGGACCCTTAGCCAGGACACCGGTCCCATCTCTGCCATCAATTGCCCCTGTGGCTCTGCGGCCTGGCCTAGCCCAGGGGGTGGGGCTCAAGCTTCGCCTCCTCCATCCCATGCCCCTTGGGGTGCTCTGGGGCTGAGGACGCTGAAGACTGCAAACCCAAGTGTGTCCCTGGGATCTCTGAGGGGCGTCAGGCTCCAAGGGGCTCTGGACTCATGGCCCCGCATCGGCTTTGCACACAGGACCTGCACAGTGCTTGCTGTTTGTGGGGTTGGCCTGGTGGCCCGGTGGGGTCCTGCAGGGATGTGGGGGCCCCTGGGGCTGGGTCACAGCTGCTGTGGCTCCAGCCCGGGTGATGAGGTGTCAGGCTGCCCTGCCAAAGTCTTTGCAGAGGCTGTTGGGCCTTGGCCGGACCGAGGTAGGGCAGACACAGGCCATGGTTGGGACAGCCTCCTGTGGCCCCCTCCCTGCCCACCGCAGGGGCTCTCCTCCCAGCTTGCTTGGAGGCTGAGGCAGATGGGTGTCCAGTTCAAGCCCAGCTTGGGCAATTTAGTGAGGCCCTGTCTCAGAATTTAAAAAGTACTTGGGATGCAGCAGCTCAGTCACTCCCCAGCACCGCAGAAAGAAAGAAAAAGAAAAGAAAAGAAAGAGAGAAAGAAAGAGGGGCTCTAGGCAGATACTCTGGCAGTCCAAGTGCCTGTCTGGTAAGCACAAAGAGGTTTGATCCCCAGTAATGTGCCAGCCCCAGAACCCCGAGTACTCCATGCTGGGCCTGAAACTGGGTGTGATGGTGTACACCTGTAATCCCAGTTCTGGGGAGGCTGAGACAGGAGGATCACTATGAGTCTGAATTGTGTAGTGAGACCCTGTATCAATCAATCAATCAATCAATCAATCAATCAATCAAAAGAAAGAAAAGACAGCCATGGCCCCCGCCTTTGAGATGGAGAAACTGAGGCTCCAAGAGAACAAGCCCTGCACGAATAGCCAGGCTGCCGCCTTCCTCCTGGAGCGCAGCCCCAGCTTCTGGAAAATCCATTCCCCTACCGCCTGGGCTGCCAGCACACAGCCCACAGCAGGGGAAGCCGGGGGCTGGGACCCCCCCCCAGAGACCCTGGCCACAGCTGCCACGGGTGGACCCAGGGCACGGGAGGCCCTGAGTCCCACCCACGGCATTTTCAACTTTCATAATTTTAGAACCCGGGGTTATTCACATTCCTAACACTGAGCTGGAGGAGGACTTTTGGAACAAGAAAGTACTTCAAACAAGTCTGCAAACTGCAGAGGCCAAGGGGAGGAAGGGAAAAAGAGACACACACTGGGCACCACCGGATGCAGGCCCGCTCTGCCCTAGTCCTCGCTCACCTGAGGGGTGTTCAGTGCCTGTTCACTGCCTCAAGACCCCAACCTGTGCTTTCAGGAGAACGGGTTCCCTCCCACTTCCCAGTTCAAAGACTGGTGCCCAGGGTCACACAGCAAACGTGGCTGCCACAGGGTGAGGAGAAGTTTTCTGGAAAAGGAGACAGAGGCACTGGGTTTTGAAGGATGTCTAGGAGTTCACTGGGTGGATGAGGCAAGAAGGGTACTTCAGGCAGCTGGGCTGGTCATGCAAAGGCTGGAGGGGACAGATCTTACAAGCAGCAGGAGGTCCTGGAGCAGGAGAGGTTCCCCCATGAGCCTCTCCAGCATTAAAAGAAGCGGTTCCTTCCCCGTGCCAGGGTCCGGCCCTCCCTCGTGACAGCCATGCAGGTCCAACCCTGAGCCCCAGCGCCTCCTGTCCTGGCTGAACACCCCGGCTCCTCCATATGCCTCGTGGGTCTGGCGCGGCCACCCACCACTTCCCTACAGCCTGTCTCGCTCATCAGCTGGCAGAGTAGGGGCTGCCCGCACCCAACACCCCAATCCCGGAGCCAGCCTGGCATGGCACGGCTGACCCTGTGTGGTTGGGTGGCACTGGCGTTGTGCTGGTAGAAACACTGCCTGTGCCAGGGATTGGCAGCCCAGGTGAGTGTGAGGTCCCCACCCCTGACCTCAGTGGGACCGAGGGAGCCCCATGCAAGTTGCGTCCCACCAAGGATGTGTCACTGGAGCCTCGTGCCATCCTCAGCCGCGAGGTCATGTTGTTTGAGTTGCTCTGCCCTGCTGCTGTAGGTGAAGATCTCTGCCCCTTTATAGCCTGGCCACCATGTTGTCCCCCAGGATGCCCCATGGGCACCTTGAGCAGGGTGACACTGGTGCAGTGCACAACACAGAGAGCATCCCATGCACTGCCCCAATCAATGCCCAGTGTCCCCTTGTCCCCCTGCCCTTGGTATGCCCTGGATCCACGCTGTCCAGGCAACCCAATAGGGGTCCTCTGCAGCGCAGCCCCCGGGAGCACAGCTGGCCACAGCTGGCAGCATGCACACATCTGGGTTGGGGAGGACTGGGGGGGCCTCAGGTCAAGACGCTCTTCCCAGGGCCGTCGGACGCCCTCCCGTGCTGACTCAGCCTAGGCGCTGCCAAACCTCAGGTATGTCTGCGAGGGCTGCCGCGGGGCCTCCGTGTGGCTGGGCAGGGGCTCCTTTCTACTCAGCCTTGGGCTCACACTCTCTAGGGAAGCTGAGGCCCAGGCTGTCATGACCAGCTCAATGCAGGGCCTGTCAGACCTGCTGCGGCTCCCCAGAAAGAGGTCAGGAGGGGCTCAAGACCTCTTCATGGTCCCTGAAGACTCTGTGCTCTGGCTGGGCTGTCTTGGACCTGGTGTGGGGACACAGGCAGCTAGGGGTACACAGGGCTGCCTGATGTCTCCCTGCTGACCTTTAGATACAGATTTGTTGGCAGGTGTACAAACCTAGCCCCAGGGCTGATTTTAGACTGGTCGGGAAGGCAAAACAGACCCAGTCAGGGCTACTCCACCCTGTATGGTCAACATCAGGTCAGCAAGAAGCCCAGATGCTGGAAGGTTTACAGAGTACATTCTGATTGGCGTTTTGAAGGGTGGGCAGGAGTCTGCCAAATCAGGCCTGGATGTCCCAAAGTTTTGATGCTGGTCTTAAGAGTTTTCTTTTTGTCTGTGAGCATTTCCAGCATGAGAAGGAGACAGGTAAAACTCAATTCACTACTTCCTCTTGAGGACACTGCATAGGAGGGGGCAGGAAATATTTAGCAGATGGGGGAGACAGAGCCAACCTGGACCTGAAGGTTAAAAAGACTTCAAGAGTGGGAGGCCCGGCTGTGGACTGGGGATGTCCTGTCAGCAGCCCTTATTTAAGGAAAGTTCCCGTACCAGCCTTTTCTTTCTCTCTTTCTCTTTCTTTCTTTCTTTCTTTCTTTCTTTCTTTCTTTCTTTCTTTCTTTCTTTCTTTCTTTCTTTCGCAAATGCACTTTAGGGTGCCGTCTGCCCCCCATTGGGTCTGCCCCTCCCAGCAGGGCTTTCTCTCTCCCTAAACCCGCACCGTAATTACACCTCCACCTGGCCCTTGGGTGCTTCTTGCGTTTCCTGATGGATCTCCCCAGAGCAGGACTTGGAGGAGGCCCTGAAAGAGCTCTCCCCTCTGTGGTGGCTTGGGCTTGAAACAGAGGTACAAGTGGGGAGCCCAGGTATACCTAACTACCCCACATGTACCCCCAGGCTGGGAGGAGGGATGAGAGAAAGACAGCACCTGTGAGCGGTGGCACTTTCA